GTAAAACTCAGTTATAAATCGCTGATGTGTCTTTATCTTATTGGTTAACAAGATTTTATTAAAACATTTAATTATAACATTTATTAAGAAAACGAAGGAGAGAAAAAATTGGAGAATACATAGGAGAAAAGATCGGAAGAAATAACGTACGGAGTAGTATACAAATGATAGAGTCCTTAATTTCGTTTTTCACAAATGTATATCTTCTCAATTATAAAATTAAGATGCGTAACAGAGATGAAATATACCTGAAACGATGAAGTATACAAAGGTGTTTTATGTCTCCGGATATTTTTACTTGGATTGTAATTCGTCTCAGACCAGACCAAATCAGATCAGACCAAACCAGACTTAGATAGTTATAAAAATACAAAGAAACCAGACCAGACGAGCAAATTACAGTACAATTAAAAACATCTTTCATCATCATCATCATCATAATCATCTCTAAATAATTGGTTGTAATGCAATTAATAGCTTAGGACTCTACAAAAAGTCAAAAACAAAAACATTCAAGCTTTAAGCGTAAAAGATATTGAGATAGGCTACGAAAATAATAACATGAATAAATCAATGATATCAACGTCAAAAAAAGAAGAAAAATAATGGGTTGTAATACAATTAATAGGACTCTACAAAAACAACAACATCCAAGCTTTAATCACAAAAGATATTGAGATATGCTAACATGAATCAATCCATGATATCAACGTCAAAAAGAGAAGAAAAATAAGAACAACAAAAAAATGGATAAGATTTTGGCCTCAATTGCGGAGAGATTTAGTTTCAGGGAAAAAACCGCATTGGGCCGCACCGGGGCAACACTAATTTATCATTTTTTATTTCGATTGAACGTAAAAATAATTCACACCGCATCGCTGTAATACACATCGCAACGGCCTTAATAGCCGCATCTGCAGTGACTGCAACACCAACGACCGCAATTTAAAACCTTGATATGGACTTAAGAGTAAATATATACTATATGATGTTGGATAATTTAATAATCATTTATCAAATTCGAATTTAGGAATTTTATTAATCCGGGTCCTGAAAGATAGGCGAATTATCAGTTCGGGACCTGAAAGGTGAAATGTATCGGAATATGACATGTATGATGAAAAACTATCAATCTAGGACCTAACATTTCATAAATTTTGATTCATTTAATTTTTTATTAATTCCGCTAATATTTGATGAATTTTTCTGTACAAAAATTTATTAGTTTAATAAAGCTAAATAATATTTAAATTTTTTTAAAATCAGATTCATAATAAAATCTATGAAAACTTAGGTCCTCTATTGATAGTATTCAATGATCCGGATCCTAGATTAGTTTTCTATCGTTCGGGTCATGTACGCATACATTTCATCTTTCAGGTCTTGAATTGATAATTCGTTTATCTTTCTGATCCCGGATTAATAAAAATGTACGCATACATTTTACAATTTAAGTCATACCAAAGAGACGTGCTACCGGGGCATGCCCCGGGCTTTACACCAGTTTGGTCTACATTTAAGTAGTTGGTATTATTACAAGTTATTTCCAAAGTACATATTATTCTTAGTTCATGAAAGATAGTTTGGATTATTTAAATTTATTTTCCTTTTTTTTAATTCGGATTAAACCCGGTGGGAAGTGACCAATCCGGCCAGATGTTTTTTTAAATAATTCCAGTTCGAATAAAATCTCGAAAACATAATTATTTACTTTAGATTTTTAAATAATTTCTCAAAATTTTCATTTTTTTAATAATCCTGAAACCATTTTATTCAAATTATTCCAATCATAATTCCGAACAAATCTATTTTTTTTTTTTCAAAATCAAAGTAAAATTTGAATTTGTTTAAAACACAATCATTCTACTTAGATCTTGGGAACTACTCCCTACCGAGTTAACCTTTTAAATTGAAACCTTAAATTATACTAAGATTGCATCATTTAACCTTTTTGAGAAATTTGTTTAAGATTGTATCATACCAAATTTGGTAAAGTTTGTGACTTGTGTAGTTCTAAATCATTTTTACTTTATTTTTACTTTATCAATTCAATACAACTACATAAACTCATTTTTCTTAATAACCGTGTCATCTCATCTTCTTCCAATGTTAGTGGGACGGATGTAGTACTAAGTAAGAGATTAATGAGTATTCTCCATACTAAATCTATTGTTTTATATAGTAAAGCTGAGTTATAAAATGCACATGTGTCATTCATTGATTGGATAACAAATACAATTATAACATTAATTTAATAACAATAGCCGATTAGGAAAAAAATAGTAAACACAGGTCTCTTCTATGCTTACACTACGTATTAACTAATAATTCAAAGTTTATGATAAATCTTATCTAAAGTTGAATGTAACATTTCCATCTATAAATAGTATACTATACTTTGCAGCTCTTTGATATATACTCATTATTTATACCTATTACTTTTGAAAATTAACCAAACATTTATGAACTCTATATATGCAAATGATGAAACATATAAAATTAATATAGAACATGAACAAATTACAAATTAAATCTAAATGTGCATAACCTTAATACAAACATAGAATTGCAATACGTTTGATTAATTGGTGCGAACATCCTAAGGTTAAAGTTTATTTTTAATTTAACTATTAATTAAAATGGATAAATTTAAGCATTTAGGATGTTTACTTGGACTGAAATTTTCTGGTCTCATCTGGTCAGAACTGGTCAGAAATGGTCTGGTAAATGACTAATTTCTTTGTATTTTATATCCGCCCAAGTCTGATCTGGTCTGGTCTGATTTGATCCGGTTTGGTCTGGGAATGAAAACAGTCCAAAAACATTAAAAACATCATTAATACTCAAAATTTTAATTTACTTGGATTTGATTCATATAAAAAAGATCCATATCTTATTCATAATTTAATTATTATTTCCCAAAAATAAAAACAAAATAGACTACCCCTAAAGATTTTTATGAAACTTGCTATTTCTTATTAAGTTGAGCAACTAACACCTTGAAAGAAGAGTGAAAGATAATTTTTATTTCATATAACACCAATATTGCATATATAAAAATAAAAAAGTAATTTTTATAACTAAATTATAAATCAATGATGTATTAGTCAGTGCATAAAAATATATAATATAAATTTTATATTAATAAAAATTCTATTATCACTACTGCTAAAACATTTAATTAATCCAAGTTCACTCGGTGCATCACTACTACTAAGAGCATGTTTGGTAACACTGAAATTGGTTCAGTCGGCTGATTCTACTGAAATTTATTAAGTTTTGGCAGAAGTGGTTGACTGGCTGGATTGGTTGATTCTGCTGAGTTATGAAAAAATTATATTTAAAATATATATTTATTAATAAAATAAAAGGTAAAATTATATAAAAATAGCTAAATAGTCCTGGAGAATAACTTCAGAAAAGTAGTTCCAACTTTACTTATTTTAATTATTACACAACTCAACGCGCAAATTCAAAAGTTACGTGCTCGATGAAAAAGTTTGATGGTAATTAGATGGATAAGCCGAAAGCAAGATCACCAAACAGACTCTAAAACATCTATTGTTTTATAAAAAAAATTAGCCTGGATTGAATTGGATTGATTAACTAGATCAGATTAAATTAGATCAGATCAGAGTTAACTAAATCAGACCAGATCAGACAAAATTTCAACTTTTTAAAACTACAAATAGACAGAATCTATAATAATCAAAGATAATTAATAATACTCAACACTTTTGATCATATCCTATAAATTGATTAGTTCACAATGTTTATTGATACTTCTCATCTCAACTTATATCAAATTAACACTACCGGGGCATGCCCCGGGTTCCACACTAGTTTTTAAGTATATTTGAGCAACTCGGCTTTGCTGGTTTATGCGGTATTCACATATCTCTAATTGATTTAATATCAGCTTAATCATAATGGGACACACATTTGTAAAAGGTGTTGTGGAGTATTAATGATATAATAAATGAACCAAGTTAATGCTAAGATTCAACAAATTTTGTAAAGCAATAAAACGGGATCCGACTATGCAGCCTATTAATACTGGGTTTGACCTTGAAAGCAGGAGGAGGTGAAACATCCCATTCGGAGGAAGAAACAACATGAATGGCAAGTACTCGTCTTTAATGCAACCACACCACTCCCTACTCTACGTGTCTCTCACTCATTAGTCATTACTAGTCCCTCCTAGCCCAATCCAATCCAATCCAATTCTCTCTGTTTTGCATTTCACCTACATTAATTCCTTTTCAAATTCAACAAGGTGCAACAAATGAGCTAGAGTTAGAAAAATGGACGTTTTTTACACTTGTTGAACTATATTTAGATTTTGGAGCGTTTGGTAAATTGCGTTTCAGCCGAAAATGATGGTTTGACCACTTTTAACGTTTTTAATAACTGAAAAAGTTGTTTGACAAATAGTTGTTTGGCACTGGCGTTTTCAAACGGAAACGTTGAAATGGAAACGCGGCTAACACTAGAGTTTTGGGGTTGGCGTTTTCTACTAATTTTATGACCATACGGCTACATTACGAAACATTTTCTCACAACTCGTCAACTTATTTTGCTAGTTAAACTCGCTGACTGAATCCGCTGTTGAGAACCTGCTAGCATAATCCGCTAACTGTTAAACGATGAATGCCAAACACGTCATTCGAGTTACTTCTCTTATCAAATTGAATTTTTAGAACCCGAATTTAATCATAGTATGAATAAAGTAACTATGTACTACTGTGAAACAAATTTTAAGTATTTTTTAATGTCCACAACTATGTATTTAATTTTTTCTTACAATTAGGCTAATTCAGTTGTCTCAGTCGGAATTTAACCGATTTGAACTTATTCGGCTTATTTGAGTGTTATCATACAAGCTCTTAATCTATAATGACCTGTGAAAGTAATTAAAATGAAGGACAACTAAAATGACCTCACTACTTGTCTTATATTCTTTGCATCTAACCTCTTTTTTATATATATGTTTAGTGGTACAAAAAATAAGAATATAGCACGCAAATCACGCTAATCTATATATAGAATGTTTACATATATATTCCTCCATATATTGTCTGCCTGCCCTGCCCAGTACACTCCACTCATATAAAAGTTGGAATCAAGTTGAAGAAGCTTCATACTGAGGGCTCACCCAAACGCGTGAAATTGCTGACAGATTTCGATTTACCCAATTAAACCCTGACATGTAATTCTTCTTCTTTTGTGATCTTTTGGTACAGAACTTTCCTGTTCACTCTTACCGTGTTGTGTTGGGATCTCCATTTTATCTTTATTCTCCCTGTAATCCATCAGTCTTCAGATCCCATTAAATCCCACTCCCACTCTGCTCTTCTTTGTTTGAATTCTCTTTGTTTTCTTCAGATGGGATCATGCGATTATCAGATTTACTTTTAATTGCAGATTTGAAATTTGAAATCCCATTTTGTTCAAACAAAAATTCCGGGTTTTGCAGAGGTTGTGTTTTAATGGGGAAGGCGGCCAGAGACTGGACGCAGATCTATGGGATTTACGGCGTCGGCGATTGGCAAACGCCGCTGTTTCTCTTCATCCACGCCGTCTTCTTCTCCGCTCTCTCTGTGTTCTTCCTCGTATACTTCGAACCCATTTGCAGCTTTTTCCAGCATTTCGTTCCCGGCCCCGGGCCCGCCGGATTCGCCGCTGGTTTCACCGGATCCGTCACCGCCCTCTCCGCGGTCTGCCTCTTCTTCGCCGCCGGGAACATTTTCTACTCCTCTGTCCCGCTCCACTGGGAGATGGCGCAGCGCATGGTCAACGCCGTCGGGGACTGGTCGTCCGTCAAGAATGCCCTGGACCTCGGCTGCGACAGGGGGATCCTGCTGAACGCCGTCGCTCTCCAGCTCAAGAAAACCGGGTCCTCCGGCCGGGTCGTCGGGTTACACCCGGATCAAAACCGGTCCCTCTCCATCCTCCGGACGGCCGGAATGGAGGGGGTGCAGGAGTACGTCACGTGCCGGGCGGGGAACCCGAGGACGCTCCCGTTCGGCGACAACTACTTCGACGTGGTGGCGTCGGCGGCGTTCGTGCACAAGGTGGGAAAGGAGTTCGGGCAGCGGACCGCGGCGGCGGAGGCGGAGCGGATGCGGGTGGTGGAGGAGATGGTGAGGGTGCTGAAGCCCGGCGGCGTAGGGGTGATGTGGGACCTGGTGCACGTGCCGGAGTACGTGAAGAGGCTCCAAGTTCTGAAAATGGAGGACATCCGGATCTCGGAGCGGGTCACGGCGTACATGGTCAGTAGCCATATTGTATCTTTCCGGAAGCCGAGTCAGCATCTTGTGGGGCCCCACGAGGTCCGACTGGATTGGAGATTTCAATAATATCTGTTGAAGCTTCGGAGATATGCAGATTCTCAACTCCCTGAAGCTGAAAAATAAACATTGGGTGAGAAATTGAAGGATTTGGCGTAATTTGCTTTTGTCCTCCATCGTTTTATTATTATTATTTTTATTATATTGCATATATAGATTGTAATTACTGTAATCCATTATAAATATCTGGGGATACGAAGTGGAACCAGAGGCATTGTAAATTCCAAAAATAAGTTTTACACGCTCCTCCAAAACCAAAATTTCCGTACGCCTAATTGAAAGCGATTTGGCACTGAGATATACGGAACATGGTGGTTTTAATGCTCTTTATTATCTAATGAGGATTAAATAAAGTAAGAGCAAAGTTGGAGTTACAAATCAAGTAGCTCGTTTATCTTGTTTTTCTGTTTATTGGGGTGTTTGAATCTCATTTTTTAAATGCTTCTGTTCCTTCGGATAGCACAGAAATTGGAGTGCTCAAATGAAAGTGTATAAATACTTTTGAATGTTCTAATTTATTTCTAGAATTAGTTTTTTCAAAATTGGGGGACATCAATTTTTATAAAAAGATTCAGCTTCTACTTGTGATTAAAAAAAGAGCAGAAACAGAATTAGTTCTAAACACCCGTCAATCAGTTGACTTTGCTATCATACACGTAATTTTTAATTTCACGTTCTAAATTATGTAATAATAAAAAGAAATAAAGATAAAGTTATTTTTCTGACTATTTTGGTTGAAAATACGATAAAAATCATTTTAGACATCTTTTCATATATTTTTTGTTTGATTAATAAAATATATTTTAAATATTTTTTCACAAAATAACATAATCAGACAACTCAACCACAATTTATAAATTTTAACAGAATAAACTAATAAAGCCAATTTAGATATTACCAAACGGGCTCTAAATTACTTCAATTAAAATTTAAACATATTCGCAAGATTGTGCGTTCTACAAGATTTAACTTTTGGACTGAAATTTGCTGGTCTGGTCTGGTCTGAACTGGTCTGGTAAACATCTGGTCTCTGTGTATTTTATAACTACGGAAGTCAAGTCTGATCTGGTCTAGTCTAAGACTCAAAACAATCCAAAAGAAAACATCCTAATAATGATTACACATTACATGTTTTGCAAAGATTATTTTATACGGGGGAAAATCTGGAGGATAATATGAGAAAAGTTAAATTTATATTGTCTTATTGAGAGTCTTTGTAAAGTTTACAACCAAAGCAAACTCGATGATTCCTGAAATGAAAATTTATTAAAAGTTTAGATTTAGATCAAAAAAATAGATATGTATACTTCCTCCGTTCTTTAATTCTTGTAACATTGCGATTTTTAGACTATTCACAAATCTTACTTTGACTACGATTTTCTACTAATATACATAAATAAATTATTACGTATAAAATATTATCGAATTCCTATCAATGTGAATTTCCAAAATATCAAATTTTTATAATGTTTATTAATACAAAAATTGTGTTTTAACAAACGTGAAAGTGAAAATGTTGCAAGAATTAAAGAACCCAAAATAATATTATACGTAGTATAAGCTAAGCTTTTAAAATGCATGAGAAGCAAACGTATAAACACGCTTTTGATAATGATCCATAGTGGAATTAGTCATGGTAATATAGTAGTGTGTCATATCTGGTCTGTTTTGGTTACCCATTTAGAAATCCAACAACCAGTTCGTATTAAGCTTGTTGCTCGTCTGGACGCATATGGTCGATGCCCATTACCACCCAAGTAATTGAGAAATAGTGTTCAGATTCAAATTTCCCGACTATTTGGATAACTATTAGATTTCCACATCGATCGAACTACTGTTTCAGTATTCCGATCTCACTGTTACTCATCCATTTTAAGGAGCATTTCTCCCATCGCATATTTGAAACGTGGTAATATGTCCCTTTCTTGCTATTTAATTTTTGTTGTTGATTCAGGTGTGGTGTTGCTGCTTGCGCTCCCTAATTCTGAAGTCTATTGACTACCCTCCAAAACCTCTAGACATGTAAATTTGGATCTGATCGATCACAGTCAGCCTCGTCGGTACTGGTAGTACAGGACGAATCCAGCAGGACTTCCTTACAACTACACTCAAAAGGGTCGTTAACCTTGCAACTGAATCCAAAAGGGACCTCCCACCACGCGGACTTGAGCCTGAATTTCCATCATCCCCTTCTTAGCCGCTGAGCGATTCTGTGAAGGTAGGAAGAATAATTGGAAGCAAGACCTCTTCCATCTCCCCTAAAGTGCCTAGCGGGTTTCGAACCCGAGACCATACGCTAGGCAAGGTAACCTTGCATCCATCTGGCTGGAACGCTCGGTTAGAATTTGTTTCGTAACCTATGTTCCGTTATATCGGTCTTATCAATCATTTTTACATATAGCTTATCTGTTATATCCTTAGTAATATGTTCCCTTTAATTTCTTGGTATTTAATTGTTTCTTGGTATTACATTTTTTAAATCGCACGTAACTAATATACTGAATTTTTATATCACAAACAAGTTTGGTGTATTAAATCCAAATATGAACATGTGATTCTTTAAACCCTTAAATGTAACAATACATTACTTTAGGCTAAAGGGTCAAATAGGCCCTTGAACTAGAGCCCGTTTGGAGACCCATTTTTTCGGCTTATCAGGCTTATCAGTCAGCTTTTTCACCAAACACGTAATTTTTACTTTCGTGTGCTGAATTGTGTAATAAGCAGAAAAAGTAAGGTTGGAGTTACTTTTCTGGCTGTATTGGCTGAAGTTACTGTAGATGACCATTTTAGCTATTTTTACATGTAATTTTTTCTTTATTTTATTAATAAAATATATTTTTAAAATATTTTTTTCTAGAATCAGCAGAATCAGCCAAAACAGCCACTTCAGCCAGAACTTCATAAATTTCAGCAGAAACAGCCAAAACAGCCGATTTTCGTGCTATCAAACGGGCTCCTAACTTAATGTGTTCAATTAGCCCCTTATATAGGAGTTTCTGCCCGACCGTCACCAATTGGGGCGTTTCCCGGTGGAAATTTTTGATGAAATTTTTTGAGCATCTTCTTCATTAAGTCTAGTTTACCCATACCAAATTGCAGTTAAAAATTCAACCGGGAAGCCAGACAAATGAATTTTTAAAGATAACTGCGTAATTAAACAACGCAGTACATTTCGGAAAATCATTTGACTGCCTTCACGGTTGAATTTTTAGCTGAAATTTGCTATGGGTGGATTAGATTTAATGAAGAAGATGTTCAAAAAAATCATCAAAAAATTTAACCGGGAACGGCCGGGCAAAACCTCTTATATAAGGGGCTAATTGAATACTTTAAGTTAGTTCAAGGGCCTATTTGACCCTTTCGCCCATTACCTTATAGTGGGTGATCTACATTTGATATTAAATTTGAATCTGCTTTGATTAACCGGCACAGGTAGCTCAGTTGGTCCAGTGGTGGTAAATTTGAAACAATGATCAAAGATCGAAACCCGCAACGGCCGTGTGGATGTTACAATTCATGTGTGCTGAACTGAACCTCTGGTGCACACGAGTATAAGGTCTACCACCATTGGACCGACTGAGTCACCGTGACTTATTCCTCCATCATTCTATCGAGTCGGGGTGTGGGGCCTCGTGGGGTGGGAGATTCCACCTTTTGGAACAACAATTCAAAGTGCTTTGATTCTAGAATTTGAGAATTTTACCAAACGTAGTTTGGTAAAGCGGGTTTGAGACGTTTACAGTCCACGATTAGAATTCCCTTAAACTTACATTTAGAATAAAAGCGTCCATTCGGAAAGAGGTCATAAACTTCATATGGAAAGATTGACTTTAAGAATGATTAGAGTTTGAATTCAAGTGTGTAGCTGCTAGGTGAGTAGTAGCTCCTAGAGCCACATGGCTCTAGACTCCAAGGAACATTATTGGCATGTGGGGCTGTCCACATTCAGCAGTCTAATTCTCAATAAAGATGGAAAGTTACATGCTAACTCATGAAGCTCCCTTTTCAGCTTCAACAATCAGTTGAGAGTTTGTTACTCTAATTTATTCTCAATTATTAAAGATAAAAACGTATACAAAAAAGTAGGGAGATGGAGTTTTTGCACCGGCATAGGCCATCTGATACCTTTGAGTTGGTAGGTATAATTTTATCGGATAACAACAATCGAACGTAGACCATTGATATAGCTAACATACTTGCAACAAAAATACAAAGATAAATCGAATAATTGAACAAAATAAATATCTCTAACATTTTGAACTCTACTCTTTGGCATTGGGGTTTCTCTAAAAATATGGTCAATGATGTGAATATCAATTTAGATGGGATTTACTCTTACAGGTTCAAATGCCCAACAAAGACCTTTCGGCTCTCTAAGAAGGTCTCCATCGACGGCACAAGCGGGGTTCTTCGATGGAAGAGATTGTAAACCAGTACAAACAGATGACAATCGACGAGGACAACAAAGGATTGATCTTCGACGATGACGATGGAGGGGAAACTGTGACGAGCAAAGGCAAGGTAACCGTTCCGGTGATTGGCATGATCGGTTCTCAGGCGAATTTTCTGGAGGTTGAAATTCTCTTCTACCATACTACAACAGCTCTCCCTCCTCCGGAACAACCTCCCTGCGAGGAAGTAATTTGGGGAAAGTTTTTATTTTCGTATTATTTTTCTTTTCGCAGTGCTTATTTTTATTTCAGTTCGAGTAGGTATGGTCGCGATATTTTGATTTTTGATGAACTCTTGATAGACAGTGTTTCATTTTCGGTCGTTTTAGGCTTCCTCTTGCCCGTTTAGTGTCAAGAGAGTCAGGTTGTTTTGTATGGGTAGCTGACTCTAAGTCTATTCCTAGGACTTACGATCGGATCTGTAATATATGTTTGGATTTGGTCTTGTGTGTTTGCTCTATTTTAATGGAAAGTCGTTTTGATGATAAAAAAAAAAGAATTCCTTTTTACGAGTTAGTGAGCGTTTAAAGGCAAAAAAGAGACTTAAAGTATAAGCAAATAAACAAGAGACAAAGTGGAGTCAGCTTTATTGAAGTCCTTACAACAGTTACAACACTAATGTCGAGTCCAAACTGCGACCCCCTAGATCAAGTTGAATGTTACAGGAAATTTAGAGAGAAGTCTATTGATAAGAATACAAAATTTTCAACATGTTACAATGAAATGAATTTTGATATTTATACCACAAGGTAGTAGGTGTAGGGGGTGATGTGTTCAACCCTTAGTGGACAATCTCCAACCATAAAATCTTCAATATCTGGTGCATCAAATGTATTTCCCGTCAATTTCAGATTCTCCGTCACCTGTATGGAAGAGCTCTGCCTTGAATGGAAAGCGCAAGTGAGGGAGTTGGGCCGAGCGGCGCTACTCATGTGGGGTGATCGAGCGGCACTCCTGGACTGACTCGAATTGGAATGATTCAGATTTGGTCCTCGGCCTGGACTTGGGCCTAATATGCCAACATATTTTATTCCGTCCGAATTTGAAACACTGGTTGTAAACTTGGGCTTAATATGCCAACATATTTCATTCCGTCCGAATTATGCCAACATATGACTCGTTTTTTTTTTTGAAACACTGGTTCTAGTCTTCTAGATAGATATAGCCATATAGGGTATGTCAAATTTGGAAACCTAGATTTGGATTATAAATATATTAACGAGTCCAAATATAGGGTAATGTGTTCCGATTCGAATCCGATTCATTGAGAAGCCTAACTTTGTGAGCCTTAATTGAATAAGGACGTAGGATGTTTTTACTTGGACTGTTTTCAGTCCCATATCAGATCAGACCAGACTTAAAAAGATCAGACCAGACCAGACTTGACTTTCATAGTTATAAAATACACAGAGACTAGACCAAACAAGCAAATTACAATCCAAGTAAAAACATAATATAAGAGGTTTTAGTATTTTAGTTTCAAAATAGAAGAGGTATGGTCAGGTTTGACTCATGTCATCACTATATACTCCTAGATTTTTTACCCATGGTGCTTTTCTATAGTACTTCTATAAATATTCTAATACGGAGTATTCAATACAGGGTGAAAACTCGAACAAAATATCTTTGTCAATTTTTTTGACTTTAACAAAAATATTCCTGATGTTTCTTTCATTTTTCATATTAGACCTTAGCTTGTTAATTTTGAAAAGTTAAAGTAAGAGTTGTAAACCATAAAAATATACTCCAAATTAATTTATTGTATTGCGGCTGAAAGGTATACTTTTTTATTACAAAAGTGTGGCACAATTATCTGAAATTTGCAGTACATGTATTAAAAGTTTATTTAGAGGTTCTTTATTAATGTTGAGAATAATTGAATCCACTGAAATTAGTGGTATCAATGTATCATAGCTAACACAATTGAATTGTCTAAATGGATTGAATTATGGAAAAAATAAATAAATAATTAACATAAAAAGAAAAAATCACAAAAAATCACAATTAAAATAACTAAATTAGATTTTTTTCAGCAAATTATGTTAAAAACTCCAATCTTACTTATTTTAATCATTACACTATTTTATACATGAAGTATAAACTACGTATTTCATAAGGAGACGGACTAATGTTTGTCAAAAAGAAATTGACTAATGAGGCCCGACCTATAAGGCAAAAATATTTGTTATAAAGGACATGGCTTTTTGTAATCTAATGTTTAAAACAATTTTCATCAAACTTGTATTTGATTTTCAGATTTTGTGTTTCATATTACATTATTATCGATTTTAAATTTAAGAATGACTTGAACATTCATTTAAATAAGAAAAGAAATGGTTTCTCTTTATCATTGATGAACCGAATAAGATGGCAAAATTGATTGGGGCGAAACCAGAAATAAGTGTACAAAGATTTGACAAAAAAAATGTAAAACTGCACAATGTGAAATCATCCCTTATGTACAAAATAAAAATAAAAATAAAAATAATACTCCGTAAGAAAGAAATAAAAGTCTAAATTGAAAAAAAATGTGCTTTCCATTTTGATTTTAAGTAACTTAAAACGTAGAAAAACCTTTGTGAAAACAAGATGCCTTTATAAATTTTATAATTAAAGAAAAATTGAGATGTAATATTTTTGAAATATTGCCCTAAATAGGAGTAAATAAGTTTTGGAATTTCAAAATGGGATTGCTATGTTTTTCTTTTCGAAATAAGAGTCATTACTGTTAGGATGATGAGGATGATGATGACTGTCATGATTGAAAAATATTGTTATGTTAATGTCGAGTATTACAATTATTTTGACAGTAATGACTCCAAGATGGCAGTTAGTACCGTCTGTTACTCTTATTCCAATAAGAAAAACGTAACAGTCATATTTTGACAAATTCTATTTACTAATATTTTGAGAATTTTCCCAAAAAATTTTCAGGGGTGTATTCATTTCGGACTTTTTAAGACATTTTAGGATTCTCAAAAACCGGGTGTATTCAATCGGGACATTTTAAGACATTTTAAAATCCGGTGTATTCAATCGGGACATTTGGAGAGTCCAAAACTTTGGATTCTAGATTTGGCAGGACTTTATCACAAAAATACTCTGTGAAATCCTATTATCAAATCCCATGAGCAGACCTGAGATTTGTGAGACTCGTTCGCACCTGGGAACCTCCGTGCTGAACGGAAACCTGCCCCTCCTTCGATTTTGTTCCCCAGCAGATGGGAACACCTATCCCCTTGCAGCTCTTCTCCTTGACCCGTTTTCTGAAGCTTTGTTGTGGGTTTCTCCGATTCGCAGGTGGAGAAGAGAAGAGCAGATGCAAGAATTGAAACGAAGAGGGATTCCAACGTGAAGAGACGATCTGCAGAGGGATTTCAATGATTGTAGGGATTGAAAACAAAGGCAAGTGAATGGAGTTCATGCAGTGCTACTCATCTTCTTAACTTTGATTCCATGCTCTGCAGATGAACTTTTTAAAATCTCTATTGAATACAAATCTCAAATTGTTATAAAATGTCCCAATTTAATACATCCCCCAAATATTTTTGGGGATGAGACTCGGATGTTATGGTTGTTGTAGTATTAGATACCCCACAAATAAATAAAAATATCATGCTTACTGTACATTTCATTGATCTAAATCGTTATTTAAATTATCATTTGGTTATATTTAAATTGATATAAATAAATTATTCAATTATAATAGGGAAAGTTCCCGAAATAGGACTAAAACAGTTTGAAAATTCCAAAATAGGAGTGTCATATTTTTTATTCCCAGAATAGGAGTAATTACTGCCAAGTTTGGAAAATACTGCCATTTTTGAAGTCTGGTACTGCCAAAACATGGCAGTAATTAGTCCTATTTCAGGAATAAATTTTTAAAAACATGGAAGTCATATTTTGGAATTTTCAAACCTTTTTAATTCTATTTCGAGTAATATTCTCATTATAATATTATAATTAGTTCACGTGGTTAAGGAAGTTACGATATCTCAAAAGTAGATGTCATTTTCTTTTCATTTTCGCCACTCAATAAATAGTGAAAAAAATATCATAAATGAAACCAAAACATGATTAAAATTCTCAAATAAGAGTTTAAGTTTTATATTCCCTAAATGTGATTTTAGATTACATTTTTACCCATGAGATTACTTCCTCTCCATCAACCGCCATCGATTGCAATCCCCCACCCTGCGACTCTGGTATGGCAGCAACTTCTCCGCTATCATATACTTCGTAGATCGTAGTTATTTGCTCATCACCGCTAGCCACCCTCCTCTTATTCATTTATTCCGATGAAGTTGGGTATTCCTCCTCCTCCTCGTGGTCCTCTACTTTCTGTTTTTTTAGTAATTTGATGGCTTTTAAAATTCTAAATAAAATTGTGGATTTGAAAGTTTTAGGTGAAGATCCTTTTTTCTTGGGAAAAGGTGTAAATAGGCCCATGTACTAATCAAAAAGGTCAAATAAGCCTTTATTTAGGAAGTTATGTCCGGTCGTCGTCATTTGGGGTGATTCCCGGTAGAATTTTTTGGGTATCTTATTCATTAAGTCTAGTTTATTCAAACCAAATTTCAGCTAAAACTTCAATCTGGAAGGCATTCAAATGAATTCTTGAAATTAACTACGCAGTTAGAAGCGCAGTTATCTTCAAGAATTCATTTGAATGCCTTCCCGATTGAAGTTTTAGCTGAAATTTGGTATGAGCAAACTAGACTTGATGAATAAGATGCTCAAAAAATTTTATCAAAAAAATCCACCGGGAACCACTCCAAATGGCGACGGCTGGACAAAGCCTCCTAAATAAGGGCTTATTTGACCTTTTTTGGTTAGTACATGGGCCTATTTGCACTTTTTCCCTTTTTTCTTTGAATGGCTAGGTGATAGGAAACAGTTGAGTTTGAAATTTTACTTCTTAATCAATTTTGATCAATTTGGAATATGAGAATGCCATAATCATTAGGTATTAGAAAAATGTCATTTTTTCAATTTTGAGAATGTCAACTTATTAGAAAAATATCACTTTTATTACATTATATTTATCAAGAAGACAACATTATTTTTTAATTATTTTCCAAATTATGTCATTTTAATGATGTCAATTTTAAGACGATGATTACGTAATTTCCTACGAAAATGCCACAATTATGAATCCAAACACGCTTTTATTATTATTTTTTATCTAAAATTCTTTATTTTCACATCTAAAGTATGTCATTGTGATACGAAAGATGACAGTCTCGCTCGAGGGTTGCAACGACATTTTGGAGGGCGGCGACTTAATCGGAGGATGACAACGGCGAACTTGATGTAGGGCGATGTGGCTTATTCCATATGATGAACATAATGTTTACGCACATGGCACCGACAAACTAGCGCCTAGGAACTTG